GGCAAAGCAACCCCTGAAGTTACTGAGTGGTTTTGCTTCACCTAACACTGAATGGGCAGCTAGCCACCGCTAGCAGGAAGCTTGTGCTACCTTGCTCCCACCCAGAACTGGCAAGTCAGCTTTAGGACCCAGATTCACAAGCAACTTCCACGAGCAGGACCAGCAGCAAGTGTCAGACCCATCAGAACAACACAGACTCCACTAGCCCAGATTAGCATAGCATGGAGTGTCAGCCTGGTTTTCCAACACATTAATATGATTAATAAGAACAAACTTCAAAAGCCTTACTGCAGTAGAGTCCACACTGCAGAGGAAGGAGCAACAGATCCAGCCCTTACCGATGAGATGAACCAGGAAACAGACTTGCAAGTACTGACCTCAGCCCCTCAGACCCATAAAGTCCGATCAGTTTTAATACTTCATCTTTCTACAGACAACACACACTTCCCTCCACAAACAAAGAACACTTAGTCTCTTGATCAGTAAGGCTTTAATCTGGAGCTTCAGTAACAGCTCTAAATTGGGGAACTAGTCATTGCAGTTGTCAGGAGCTGCACTATAGCCTTAAAGTGTAGATTCAGACCTAAGTCAGCCCAGACAGCAGTTTCAGATGTACTCCTATGGTTTTTACACTATCATAAGTCACAACTTCTCTGTAGAGTCTCATGCCCAAGCCTCCCAAAGACTTGGGCACACTCAGTTTAATTTAGAGGTTAATAGGCTTTACATCAGCAAAAAGTTAAATTACTTTTTGTTGGTAGCTACAGTTCTGAAGTGTAGTAGAATCTGTAATACCAGCTCCTTTTCGTGCTTTTAATACCTGCATCTGTTTCCTGACATCTGCAGAGCCATGGCCTCCAAAGCAGCCCCAGCAGCTGGCTGTTTTTCAAAGCAGCTTTTCAAAAACAATTCTATCAGAGATTTCAAGGCCGCTACCCTGCAGTTACAACTCAATCCAGCGCAGATGCTATGTGCAGCTGAGCTAGCAGGACAGTACAACATGCAGCTACATCTAGCTGGGCAATCCAGGGCCAAGCCAGCAGAAGAAGCCTTTCCATTGCTTCGCAAGCCTGGTCTTATGAAGGACAGTTGCCAAGCACAGTGAAATGGAGCCATCTTCCTTGGGTCATCTCTAAAGCTAGATTAACAGAGCCTTTAAGGCAAGACAAACCCAAGAGAAGAAGTTGTGATGAAGGCCAAGTTTCTGCCACTTAGCAGGGTCTCATACATGAGGCCCTAATGACAGGGTGCTGCACAGTGCCAAGCACAAGTGGTCAAAATGAAGATCCGACCTGAACAGGCAGCTCGGACAAGATCGTCTGAAGTCCAGACCAGCTCAGAACTCATTGTTATATACAGAAAGCTACTGCTCAGTTTGAGACTAAGTCTCAGTTGCTAGATGTCACCTGCTTGAACTAGGCAAGTCAGGTCTAAGACTGTTAAACTGTGAAGCCAGGAATACCCATGCATCCTACAAAGCTGATCTGACTCTTTGGAAGATTAGGAAAAGATCACAGCCTGCACGACTGAGTCAAGAAGTGCAGGACTTTGCTCAAAGGGAGTTATAAAGCTCCCTCAAGCTGCCTTCTAGCCAGTTTAACCCCATACACATCCCCTCAGAAGGGTTTCCTAGGTTTAAGTGGTTATCCTTTAGCAGGAATTCTTGAAAACATCTCATGAGGTAAAAAGACATTACACTTACTGATGCTACCTTGGAGCTAAATTTTTTTATACTCAAGCTGAATAGGTATCAGCAACAATAGTTATTACCATGTTGGTCACACTGGCAGCACAAGGAAGTTCCATGCCTAATCCAGTGGGGGTTTTAATTCTGCAGAATAGCATGACTAATTGCTTTTAAAACTGCAGTTAGTGTCCTATTAGATCACCATAGCTCAACAGAGAAACATGCGGTGAGGGCAGGCTGAGGCGTAGTGCTTCTGCCTGGTCCTCATGTATCAGGAAAGCAACAGGGATAACACCAGAACTCATGTTCTAACCAGGGCCACCAAACCTCAAGTTGTGTTGACACGGTAGCAAGAGAACTCACACCAGATCCAAGTGACAGAAGACCCATGAATGCAAGCTTTCAGCACTGATCAGTCAAACTCTACTTAGCTGAGCTATGGAGACAATACACTTGCAAAGACTGCTTTAAAAAGAGTGGAATGAAAAGTGGCATGAGAAGGTATGAATTGCAGCGTAAGACTTTTGTGGAAGAGTTTTGCATCACCTCCATTTCACATAAGCTTCTCACTAGTTGTAGGGAGCAAAGCCTCCATATTCCCTGTCCCCACATTAACTCCCTCTTCGGGGTCTTACCTACTTTTAGTTATCCTTGATACTGCAGGAACTTAGTCCTATTTCACAGAAGATGAGGCACAGCCAGGTTGAAGGAGCAACTCATGAGTGCAGTCTGGACCAACTACAAACTGAACAAAAGCATCAAGTTTTTAATTCTGCAAGACAGAATTCAGGCAAGGTTCTTCTAACCCCTGTTCTTGATATTGTCCACTACTCAGCACACCCTCAAAAGACTCAGCTTAATTTTGACTACAAGTCCAACAACATGTGCCTTTAGATAGCACCTACTATTCTGTGAACAAGGTGGCAAGATCATTAACAATGCAAAGCAGAAAACAGCTGTCTTCTCTGCAAAAAGAGTCAGTGACCTTCATAATATCTTTTCCAGACCGCACAAAGATCTCTTGCCTCTAGCAGCTCCTTATTTGGAGCTCTACCAAATAAAAGCAAACACAAAAACCAGCATTTTCTTATCTGTTTATTGTAGAACTACTCCAGCAGTTCATTCCTGTGCTCCAGGGGAGGAAAGCGTTCCTTTTAGGATTTAGATGAAGCTTTATTCTTCCCCGATACTGTCACTTCCAGGAATGTTCATTGTTTCTGGCTAGCATTTGGAGTGTTTTCATAGTGTTACTCTGATGACTTAACAGAACTTGCATAAGAGGACTTCAAACTTCATACCCCAAGGGAAGAAAACAGCTGACTCTGCCGTTTCTACATTCTACCCTCTTTTAAGTATGCTGACCGAAATACTTTGGGCTACACCCACTTCATTAGAAACGTTCCCATTTCATTTCCTGTGTCTGAAAGTACTTGGCATTCTTTCCCCCTCCCTTTTCTGGGAAATGCCATGACCACCTATCCGCTAATCATGCGGCAGTTTAAGAAGTTAGGATCAAGTGCTGACGACCAGCAGGGCCTAGAGCAATTCTAGAGCTGATCCCTCTTTAGATGCAGAAGAGCTTTGCTCTTTGCAGAGGCAATTCCACTTCTCATCACAACAGTTAAGTTTGGCCAAGCACACAGAGTATGAATATGTTACTAGACAGTTTTGTTTCAGACACTGCCCAATCCATTATTGGTTTCACTAGTAAAGCAAAGGGACCTAAACCCAACTCTGTTCATAGTAAAACTAGACAAATGTTTTATTTTACTATATTCATACCCACACATCAAGCTAGCCTTCCCCTTACTGCTCTCTAGTAGCTTAAATCCTTCTTCAGCAGTCCCATTTCGTCTTGCCTATGTTGCTGCCTCACCTGAAGGGGTATCAGCACCTACTTAAACAGCCTCAAGGGACCTACACTGCCTGGCACTATCTTAAAACAAATGTAGTCTAAATTAGCCTATAGGATCTTAGAGGGAAAGATTGCCTCTAGAGGTAGGTTTTTGCTATGGAAGTAGTTGACTGTTCGGGCATACTGCTGAGACTCGAGAGAAGTCTGAGATGATTTCAGCAATGAGACCCAGTTACTGAATCTAAACGTTGCTCTTAACCTTACAGGTCTATACAGGCTCGTGCTTTACCTGCTCTCCTCACTCCAAGAATGCATTAAGACCAACATCATCCCATAGCTGCCTACACACACTATTCTGAATTCTTCACCCTTTTCAGTCACAGTTCTTTCACATTATTATCCAGTTAAGCTGAAAAAATGTAAGATTTTCAGAGTCAAGGCAGTATTATATCCCATATTAATGGGATATTCCAAGAAAGTTCTTTCAAACAGCATGGCATGTCAAGCCATTATGAGTCAGAAGTATCTTTTTTTTTGGTTTCAACCAAGCTTTGGAGTTCTGCCTTTAGTGTAGGCTCAGAAGTCCTAACTTAGTGCAAAGCAGAATTGATGTCATGCTATAAGCAGGGCAGCTCAAATATTTGTTGACCCACCACACAAAAAGCTAAGAATAGTAGATGCAAGTTGTTCCACATAAGACTTAAAATAGTACCTCAGTGTACTCTCTTCCCTCCGATTTCCTTACGTGCTTGGACACAGTCAAGGTCAGAACTCCAACAGCCATGTACAAAAGCAACAAGCTAAAGGTCAGCTGAGATCGGGTCAACACTGTATTTAGTCTCACTGGCAGACCAGTTTACAGTGAGGAGTCACAGTTAGTTTACAGTGAGGAGTCACAGTTAGTTAGCAGAGAGCAACTACGACTGCCATGGCTCCTCACAGCCCCCACCCAGCCCCAGGCATTTTAGCAGCACCTTGAGCATTACCAGGAATAAGGTTCGAGCAGTCTTCACAGGATTTAGCACTACAAACCCGTTGCTTACACTTACATCTGCACTATTAGCCTTTGCAGGATCACATACCGACTACGCTCTCAGCTTACAGGCAGCGGTCTCTCCCACCGCGCTGAAGATCCAAGGACGGCCTTGCATCTGAGCACGTCTGGGTTTCCTTCCAGACAAGCTACGGAACTTTCTTGCAGGCTTTGTGCCTCATTCAAGAGCCTGCAGCACCACACATTTCGCTTCACAAATGCCCCTTGGGGAGCACAGGGGCTGTGTTTGTCACCAGCAGCAAGCCAGAAGAGTCTCCATTCCACTAGAACCTATTTTCAGCAGATAATCCTTCGTTTAGGCAGTTCTGTACTCGGGAACCTGGCTGGGCTTTCAGACTTCTAGAGTTTCTGTTCCCACCTCAGCAGCTGACTAGCTACAACAAAATATTATACCACATCTCTCCTCACAGGTGCCGCACCTTCCCCAAATTCCATTTAACAGTCGTCACTACAAGAGAGATAAAGGAGTTGGGGAACAGCAGCCAGGCAGACCCAGCACACCGACGGCAGGCACTCATGCTTGCTGCCGCGCGAGCCCTTCCTGCTCACGGAGAAAAACAGTCCAAAGGAGCGCCAAACCTGAGACTCCGCAACGCAGACACGACGTTCTCCTTGAGTTCGAGACCGTCACCTTTGACGGGCTGATCTTTCCGACTAGCACAGCTCCCTTCCCTGGGTACGCCTCGCTACGAGATCAGCCCCACACTCCGCAAGGCCGGACGGTGCACCGCGGCAGCGCCGCTCTCCCGCCTCGCCAGGACACCCAGCGGGACCGGCTCGCCCAGGACCCGGCGGGGGGAGGTTTATTTCGGACACCCTCGAATGCCGGAGCCCCCCGCCCCGCTGGCGGCGGCTCGCTCCAGACCCCAGCTCACGCAACCCGACAGCGCAGCCGGGACGCGGCGGCCTCACCCCGAGCCCCCGCTCTGCTCCCCACCGCGGGGCCCCCGGAGCGGCGCCGCCCGGC